TTTAGTAATTAAATTATTTAAAACAAAAGTAAGAAACTTAATACTGTATATTGTATATATTGATTTTAAAAAAATTAATTTAATAATTATCTTTATTTTTATTTTATTTTATAGATGTGATAAAATTATAATAATTGGATGGCTAATTCTATAAAGGAATTAATACCTACTAGTAATATTAAAAGACTTTCTTATAAAATTATAGTAAATTAGATTAATAATTTATGGAATGCTATTGATGTTAATTTAATTCAACGATCTTTTAAATATTGTGATATCTATAATAAACGTGATAGAACAGAAGATAAATTAATCTTTGATTATAATCGTCTTGGATAATTAAATCAATCAGATGATAGAGTAGAAATAGATAATGAAAATTAAAGAGTAGATATTGAAGAAAATATTAATGATATTATAATGAACAAGAAGTAAATCATGCTAATGTATAGGATGATTAGTGATTTTAATTGTATAAATTGTATAATTAAATTAAAGGTTTATTTTTATAATCATTTAATAAATATACAGTAACTTTTATAATCAATATTTACATTTTAAAAGTTTATTTTTAATTAAAATATCAAGTAAAATAAATATAATTATAAAAAATATTTTCAAATAGTTATTTTGATTAATACTGAGGTATTTTTTAAAAAGATCAGCATTTGCAATTAAATAGTATATTGATACTAATTAAGGGAGGTACTTTTTTCAGAAGATACTTTATGCAGTGCTATACGGTAAGTAAATCAAAATTATATATAGTTACACTATTTTTTAATTAGATCAATAATTTTTAGCAATAGCTTAAATAAATAATATAATAAGCTTTTTTATATAAAATTAAACTTTACTTTTTTAGATATGCAGATCAAATTATTCTCTTTTTCTAAAAACTTAAAATAAAATCAATTTTTTCTCATTACAATTATAAGGCTATTGAGTCTTTTTTTACATTTCTTATAGAAAAAAATTTTTTTTCTCACCTATTTAAACTGTATTTTTACTTTGCTAGTCCAAACGAACTTTCAAGTTAATTTGTAAAACTTTTCATAATTAAAATATAAAACTAATTTATAGTTTGATTATATGAGGTTTCATATCAATTCTCTTAAAATTTCATTTAAAATTTTTAACTGTTAATGAATTAAATATGGATATCTATAAATTATATAAACACCAATTTCATTTGAAAAATGCACATCTTAAAAAATATCAAAAAAACAAACAATTAAATAAAGAGATATTATTAATATTAATAAGGAGGCTATAGAGGCACCTATCAACATTAATAAAATGACTATAGAGGTATCAGATAAAAGTTTACAAAGAATACAATTATTTTCAATAATATAACAATTACTTGAAAAAGATATATCTTCAGTAAATAATCTTATTTTGATTATGTGATATCCAAAAGGGCTAAATAAAGAAAATATAATCTCATTATATTTGCAATGAAAAGCATATAATTATCTTGATTAAAGTTTTTATAAACATTACTCTACTTATCAATCTTTAAAAAACTTAAATCTAAAGTTAAAAAAAAAATAAAAAGTTTTATCAATAAAATTTAACACTTATTAAACAGATCCAATCTCTTGAAGCAAAAGTTTAATATTATTAAAATCAAAAATTAAGATATATTTCAGAAATTCATTCATTAGTTTGACATTTAAATTAGATTACTAAATGCAGAATTTTAAAAAAAGTAAAATCTATCTTTAAAATAAATAATCAAAAATATACATCAAATACAATTTGGATTATAACAAATATTTACAAGTAGGTCAAATATCATTATACTTTACTGTTGATGTATGCAATTAATTTATGAGTTTTTAACAGAAGGATCACTTTTAGATTGGTTGATAAGATCTAGTTTATGTATATAGCATTAGAATATTTAGAATTACATCTTAATGAGTAAATTCATTAAATCGTCAATGCATCAGTATTTAGAATTATAGTGGATGAATCAATATGTAGACAAATAAAAAATTTTGTTATTTGTTATTAATTCTGAATGAAAAAAATCAATTATCTATTATAACACTTATTCAATTGCAAAATATCCCAAGATATAATGCTGATACTATATCAGGTACTGTGATAAAAAATATTCATAAATGTGAATTAGAATTTAAAAAATGTGTAACATAGGTAACAAATAATATAACATATATGTCAGAAGATAAAAAAAGTATAATTATTTTATATAATAAAAAATAAATTCAAATTCATTACGAATTGATTGTAGATTACATATTATTCAAATTATAATGAATCAATTTGAGCAAGCATTATTTAGTAAACTTTTAAGTAATACTGGATTTTCAAAATAATTACATCTATATAATTTGCTCTATTTGGCTTGAAAATTATATGATGGTTATGATTCAAGTGACAAAGACAAGCCACTTAATATAAATTCTCAAATAATCAAAAATCTCTATAATGGATTATTAGGATTTTATTATAACCAATATCAATTACTACTTTGATCATGTTGGGGTTATTAATTATCTGTTAAATAATTTCTAGATTAATATAATACACATATTGAATTTGCTAATTAGTTTATTGGAAAAATGAAACACCATAATACACCAAAATTATATCTAAATAACTGGTATCTTTTTCAGTCTTAGCTTCTTGATTTAACATTAAATATTCAAATTAAATGTTTAGTAAACTTCACTAACCTTTTTATGAGCTACTGATACAATTTTATTATCATAAAAGATACTACTACATGAATTTATTAAAATAGTTAATTAGCTATTTTACCTTCTGGCTGATATATTTATGAAATGCCTGATAAAATTCAAAAGTGACATAATTTTCTTCAAAATCTTACTAAAGATTTTGAGATATTCTTTGCTAATGAACTATTTGAAGCAGTAGATATCTTATTTAGTAAAGAATTTGAAATATTATTTGATAATTTGGAAAAAATAATTAATAAAGCATTAGAATATTTTGAAAAATGGCTATTACCTTAACTTCATCTACCATTTATTATTTGTCATTAAAGATGGCGTTGCAACTAGTTGCAACCATATGATACTTATTTGTCACCAGTTGCAACTAGTTGCAACTAGTTGTAACCCTGTGATGCTTATTTGTCATCGGTTATAACCAGTTGCAGCGTCATCTTTATTGTCATCTTAGTAGGAATAACATTAGATCTTTTGTTTCTAGCTTTCATCATGTGGTTCTAAAAAAACCTTGGATTAAACCACTAATGAATTTAGAATTACAGTTTGCAGAAGAATTGGAAGGTGATCTAAAAAATAGAATAACTGATGATTTTGATCTATGTGAATTGTTATTAAACAATAATAACTTTCTCAAAGAATTTAAGCAATTCTGCACTGATGATAAATTATTTATATACAATTTTTCAGATTTATATAATTTCGTTAAGACTCAGATCTATTTTATTATAATTCATCAACAGTAAGTAGAAGGTCTTTTTAATAAATTAGACCTAAAAATACATCCAAATATAACATTATCATTAAGCAATCTAAACTTCATTTATCCTCGAGCAAAAGCAAAATTGCTAAAAAGAATCTTTCAGATGGAATAAAGAAAATAAGAGCAAAGAGAAATGCAACTAAAAAAATGCCACTCCAAGAAATTCAATTACAAGAATTTGGGACTGAAATTGCTTCAGAACTTTTTAATAAATTAATATCATAATAATCTTTTAATAAATTATTACATTAACTTACCGTGTCAAATATTTTAAATAAAATCTGATTGACATCTTTGTCGTACAAAAAAAAAATCAATAATAAGTTTTTATATGATATCACATATAGTTTTGATTTACTTAGTTGACTGATCACCCTAATGTATAGTGGTAGTGATAAATAGATTTTTAATTACTGAAAAATTTGAAAAATTCCAAGTCCCCATAAATACTTAGTAAAAATGAAACATGAAGGGATGTGACACCAGTAACAAACTATATCATGTGAAATTTCGTTGACGCCATACTGATGATAAAAAAAATTATGCATCAAATTTCTTAAAAATCAAGGCAGATTGAATATTCTAAAAATGAGATGTAATGGTAAGTGTGAATCAGTATCATTACAATTACTTTTTACATTAGTTATTAATCTCTCGATTTATACTATAGATTTAAAATTATTCAATCTCAGGAAACTTCTCTTGCGAAAATTAACTAAGATCGAAAATTTCTATATAATGTATGTGGGTAGGAGTAATTTACATTAGCAGGGATCTTGTAAACATAGTTTATTTCGTATTTATAGAAAATTGAATCTTGTAGTTAGCAATAGTGATAGGAAAAAAACAATTAGTATAGAAAGTCTAACTTACTCCCTCTTCGATAGCATCATATATTACACTATTAGAATTAAATGTTAGTAATTTAAAACTCTAATCGCTTATTCATAAGGAGTTTTAAGATATATTAACTGACATTAATTATATTTGCTATTAATGTATCTGAAATTATTAATAAAATTTCGCACTTGTATTAAAAAATTTTTTTTCAGTAAAACTTAATTGTTAATTCCACCAAAGTATGACTCTGTCGTCTTTATGTAACCACCATAACAAATTTCATATTGTAAAGAAATGCCAATCAAAAATTGTTCATCTGATCGATATCATCAGCTGATTTAGCTAATCTGTGATATGATCAATAAAACGCGTTATCGATTCTTCGTCATTAAATGATATTTCTTAACTTCTTATGATAATTAACATAAATTACTTATTTAAGTGAATCTATGATTTTTTTATTTCCATAGTTTTTCAATATCTTTATTGAGCACGAAAAGCGCTAGCGAGCAGATTGAAATCTCTAGATCTGTCAGAAACTAAACCAATAGTGATAAGTCATCAACAATAAATGGCCGGTCTTGAGTGAAAGACATCTTCACTTTGATGACTAATTGATAAGTTTTGTTCAACAAAATACTAACTTATATCTTTTACGATTTTGAGTTTGAGAAATGCCGAGAATGCTGAAATCTGAGAGCAAGAAAAAAAGAAACATAAAATGGGTAATTAATTGTGATAATCCTACATCACTTGTAAAACTAACTCATCATAAACGTGCAGATGAGAAGTATCGTAATACTCTTAATTCAGCATTTGAGTGTAATCCTAAAAATAGGGAAATAAAGAAACACAGAAATGCGAAAAAAGTTTGATGTATATAATCGGATACATTTTTTTCATGTTTATATTATTGAATTGTACTCTCTTTAATTAGGACGGAAAATATAAACAAGACTGGAAAATTTGGATGCAAGAGAAGTGAGCGGTACTCTAAGTTATTGCAAACTTTTAAGCTGTAAGTTGTGATCACTAATACTAATATTAATCAAATAATAAATTTTTTTTAGTTGTTTATTTAAACACATCTTATCCGCCACTCGTAATCTTATTTACTATGAAAAAATTTTTGTACTAAAAGGATTATTGTATTATGATCACATATACATTTATTCTCTAATATACATCCAACAATTGGTAGAATATTTTATTTTGTATGGCCTTTTCACCTGAATTATTTATTTATTGATATAATAAAAATAAATATCTGATCGTTAAAGAGGAAATTCTCATGTTTTCATTTGCATAATTAAAAGTTAATGAAAACTATTATTATTTATATTGGATTCAGTCAGTTAACATAAAATATAGTATAGTGGAAATATGCAGTAAAAACATATTTATGAGGAAAAAAGTTTATTTTTGTTAAAATATAACACATCTGATCTCATTTTGTTTTTTTGTTTTCTAAAGAGTTATCTGGAATTACCATCCAATCATTTACACTATAAGAACCATCATCGTTGATTGTGTCTTCCATACCCATTTTCCCTTTTATAGACTGTCATACTGTAAGCAAAAGATAGATAAATCTACAATAAATAATAGTAAATAAGACGCATTTGTATGACTAGTATAGAAATACTTTCAAATGAACCTCTATCATTACGAGTTTAGTTAGAAGCCATCAATCTGTATATGACGTTAGAATTTTATATTTAAAGATTTCATATATTCTACAATCAACCCTCCCCTCTCTAAAAGCACCTATAGTGAAAATTTTAAAAAATATGTATTTAAAGAGGGTGTGCATTTAAAGAAAATATATAATGTGTGCATTTAGAGAGGGTTGACTGTATACGTTTTCATACAAATAAGGTCTGAGAGGTAAATTGATATAAAATATTCTAAAAACATAGAAGTTAGATTAGGTTTTACTGTAAAACACCCTTAATCACTTATGCAAAAAAAGGAAATCGCCTACTATAACAATGGATGCTAACAGATTTGAGTTTTTTTCGCTGATGTTATGGAGCATTAGCAATATTGTAAGAAGTAATAATTTAAATCATCCACTCCGTTACGTGCTAATTTCGTTATATCTCTTATATAATATGTTGAGTCAAATTCTGTGGGTCTAACTGTATAATTGTAGTGTTATCGTTTTGATATAAGACAGCATTGTTCTTGTCGCCTCTTCTTAAATTTGATGGTTTTTGATCAGCATTTTATGTTATAAACTAATGCTCTGAAATGATCGAGTCGACCTGGGTCGTTTGACCTGGCTCGAATTTTTTCTCGAGTCAGAACTATCATTTTATGACACGAGTTCTAATTCAAAAAAAACCCGCCAGGTCAGGGTCATGTTATTGCTTAATCCAGGTCGACCCGTATGACCTGGATGATCAGACGCGTTAGACTTTTTTTTTGTTTTATGATTTGCGACTTTAATTTGTAACAAATAAATAATAAAAAAGTAAAACCTACTGAAGTTACAATACAACTTTTCTAGAAAATGAAAAGCATTGCAAAGTGAACAATAACAGTTAAAATAAAAAAAATTATTAAACATTAACTTATACATTTTTTTATAAATCAACAATTGTTCCAGTAGAACGAGTTTTTCTGGCAGAACTGACCAAAAGATGTGATCTTAAAGCTAATACAATTTGCCTGTATGTGCTTGAAATTCTGGTGAAAAAAAAGGAATTTGAATTAATGCTTACAAAAAAAAATAATAATTTTAAAAATAAATAAACTTTATATGATTTTCGGCATTAATATTACCTTGAAAATTCGAGTCGAATCTGGGTTAAACGATAATCAGGTCAAGTCAAATTCGGGTTCTGTAATTATTAATGGATTCGAGTTCGAATATGCCTTAAACCGACCTGACCTGACCCGACCCTACGGAGCACTAAATTTAACAACAGCTCAAATGATAAATAATTATCGATGCAAAAAGAAAAAAAATGAAGATGTACTTGTCAGTTCCGTTTGTCTTTGATAGGCTTTATCTGAATTTTCTTGCGACCATGTTTCTGTTTCGTTAAGGTATACGAAAAGTTTTGATAAGAAAATCGTTAACGTAATAGGGCTTGTATCAAATAATTTGTCGTAGGAGAATAAAAACACGAGAGCCTGAGAGGAAAATTATAATAATAAAGGTTGACATAATGTAGGAATTTCAAAAAGAAGTACAAGTTGATAAAGGAAAAGGAGGAATGGTATGGAGGTTAAACCAACTGACGATAAAAGATACTTACTTTTAGTAATAGAAGCAAAAAAAATTTTTTTTGGTATGAAATTAGTAGGTCGAGGTATATTTTTGTTGATGGACGCGTTTATAAATCACTGATTTATACATTTCGGCCAATCATATTGCTCTGATCTTGTCCCGAAAAGATGCTCTACAAAAAAAATCAAAAGGAATTGGTTTTGTTAGAAACTTCTACAAATTAAATAAATAAATAAATATACTACAGTGCGAAACCTTTATAATAGACAATTGAAAATCTTAAATAAAATTTGATCCTGTGATTTGATTTTAATTTA